GTTTTGACAGAGACAATGCTAGAAAGAAATCAACACTTTACATATGGGCATTTTCTAAAGATGGCGTGAGATAATGCCAGTAGCAGCAAACCATTCACATTAATTTGGGAGAAAAAAAGTTAATGCTGTTCATGCCCTAATTAAAGAGAGCTAACAGTTAACAGCAGAAACAATATCCAAAAGCATAGACATCTCAATTGGTTCAGTTTACACAATTCTGATTGAAAAATTAAAGCTGAATAAACTTTCTACTTGATGGGTACCAAAACCACTGCACTCACATCAGCTACAGACAAGAATGGAGCATTAAAAGAAAAATTTTAGATTGCTTCTCTGTTTCAAAGGTACAGAGTCAGAAGGAAATAAAGAGATGAGATTGAAGAGAATGGAGAAAGATAGGGCGAGAGAAAGAGGGAGAGTTTGGTTACATCCTGTGGTTTACTCCCCAGTGCCCATAATAAACAGAGCTGGGCCAGATTGCAGCTCAGAACCCGGAACTCAGCACAAGTCTCCCACAGGGATGACAGGGACTCAAGCAGCTGAGACACCACCCACTGCTGCCCAGGGTAGAATCCAGCAGGCAGACGGAATAGGAAGCAGAGGTGATTCTTGAACCCAGGCATTCTGATATAAGAAGAGAACATAAGAAGACACCGGCATCGCAAGTAGCATCTTAATGGCCTACCAAACTCCAGCCTCTCACTTAAACTAGTGAGATCAAGATCCTGGAGCATTTCTTTGAAGAAGTGTAACAGGAGATGAAACAAGGATTTTCCAGCATGATCCTAAGGACAAATCACAATCAAAGCCATGGCTACTAAGAGGTGGAAGTGGTCCAGTCAAAAGCAAAAGTGGAGCAGTCTAGAGCAAAGGTCATGGCAACAGTTGTTTGGGATGCTCAAGTCACTTTGTTGTTGACTTTCTGCCTGGCCAAAGAATGGTAGCATCTGCTTATTATGAGTGTTTGAGCGTTTTAGCCAAAGTTTTTGCAGAAAAATGCCTAGAGAAAATGTAGCCATAGAATACTTCTCCACCATAAGATGGTTCCTGATCATTCTGCTATCAAACAAAGACAATTTTTACACAAGAAAAAATTAAGGATTTGCCTTCTAGTCCTGATTTGTCTCCCTGTGATTTTCTTTCCCTAATATTTAAAAAAATTTTTTTTATATATTTCTTCAGTAAACAATACTTTTTGAAAATACTGACTGATGGCTGGCGCCGCGGCTCACTAGGGTAATCCTCCACCTGCGGCGCTGGCACCACGGGTTCTAGTCCCGGTTGAGATGCCGGATTCTGTCCCAGTTGCTCCTTTTCCAGTCCAGCTCTCTCCTGTGGCCCAGGAGTGTAGTGGAGGATGGTCCAGGTGCTTGGGCCCTGCACCCGCACGGGAGTCCAGGAGGAAGCACCTAGCTCCTGGCTTTGGATCTGCGCGGTGCGCCGGCCGCAATGCACCGGCCGTGGTGGCCACTTGGGGGGTGAACCAACGGAAAAAGGAAGATCTTTCTCTCTGCCTCTGTCTCTCTCATTGTCTAATTCTGCTTGTCAAAAAAAAAAAAGAGAGAGAGAAAATACTGACTGCGTAGACTTGGTTAAATTCCCAGGTCCTTCAGTTCTTTAGGGGTAGATGAAATGTTTGATGCCATCAATTTACAAAAGAGTCTTGAACTTGATGGTACTTATGTTAAGAAATAAGATTTATCTTTATCTTTTTATTTTTAAAATCATTCCTCACAAATATCTTGAAATTCCCTCATTTGTAGTATCCTCATAAAGAATAACTGTTAGAACTAATAAACTCAGCAATGTAGCAAGAGAAAAAAATCAACATACAAAAATTAATTCCAGCAGCATCAAAAGTATAAATTACTTAGCATTAACTTGGCCAAGGAAGCCAGACTTGTTTAGTGAAAACCACATTGCTGACAGAAATTAAAGACATAAATGAATGGAAATTTGTCTCTGAAAGGATGGGAAGACTTAACATTGTTATATTGCCAGCACTGTGGAAAATGATCCACAAATTTCATATAGTTCCTATGAAAATTCTGAATCTGTTTCCTACAGAAATAGAAAAGCATCCTAGCATTCATGTGTACTGTCAAGATACCCTTAATAGCAAAAACAACCTTTGGAAAGAATAAACTAGAGGATTCGTACTTCTCAACTCCAAAACTTCCTACAAAACTACAATGCTCAAAATGGAGTGGCACTAGCATACGGAGAGACATGCAGATATACAAAATAAAAAATGTGGTCCGCAAAGGAACCCTGGCATACATGCTTTAGTGATTTTTGACAAAAGTGCTAGGACTATTAAATGTGCAAATGACAGTCTTTCCGTATTTACACGGCCGAGGTGGGTGGGAGATGGTGGTGATCTGAACTGGATCATTGGCAGTAAAAATGCAGAGCAGTGGAGTTTTGAAAGCTCCTCAGGAAGCATAAAGGGCAAATGTGGTGATCAAGTGACCAGTGGGGGAAAGGAGGGAGAGTGGAGGGACGTGTCCCTAGATTTCATGCAGATACAACATCCTTCCTTAGGGCAGAGAAAGGTCATTAATACGTTTCTATTTATGGCTACATGAATTGAGTTTAAGCATCCACCAAGAGAAAATAATGATCAATTAATTATGTAGGTCTGGAGAGAAAAAAAAAGGTGGGCTTGTGAATCATTCATAGGCAGAAGTGTGTGACAGAGAAGTGCAGGAAAGATAGATCACCTGAAAGGATATAAATCAGAAAACACTTGAAGGCAAAACCTGTTTCACCCTTGTATTTAGGAGGTGAGTATTGGGAACAGGAACTCAAGATAGTGATGTATAGGCAATGGTTCAACACCAGCTCCATGGAAAAAGAGAATGCAAGATCCCAATTTGTAGCATTTGCTAATTCTTGTGTAAATACCCCCACTACAGCCAATTTAAATTGACTACTGTGACATCCACTAAATAGTAAAATTACCAGAAAGGTAACAACTGTATCCTTAGAGCTGGTGAGAGATTGAAGCTGCCTCAGTGTACCCTGGCCTCAAGGAGATGAGTAAGGGAGAAGAACCAACAAAAAAAAAAAAAACCAGCTGTCAGGGGAGGTGTGAGAGGAAAAGATCTTAGCAAGAGGGAGTGGGCGGAAATTCTAAAACGCTGCAGAGAAGGATACACAGGGAAATACTGAAAAAGGAGCCTCTGGATTTCGCCGCTTAGGATGTCATTTCCTCGCCACAGCCCCTTCTGTAGAATTCCAGGGGGCTGGAGTCGGACTATAAGCAATTGAGCCCTGATGGAGGAAGCAAGAAACGCCAGGAAGAGTGCACAGACAGCCTGTCTTGTTTACAAAGAACCTGATTTAAAGAAAAGCTAAGGAGGAATTAGAGGAACACAGCCTGAGAGCCCACACTGAAAGAAACCTGTCTTCTGCTTTGAGAATGTTGGCAGTTTTTGGACACTTTCCACCTCCGGTGCTATGAGGCACACGTTTTAAGTAAAGGGGAAAACTGAAACAGACAACCTCTAGCTCAGGACTCATGTCTTTTGCTGACACATGGGGATCTAAGAGAAGTCCCCCACCTCCTCTGCAAGGAGAGAGACATTCATGGAGCAGCCTTCTGCAGTGTGGAAGTTACTCTCACAGACATAATTGTGTGGATGGCTCTGCTTCACCCCACCCCAGGGACAGAAAGACTAGGAGAGAGGGGTGCGAGAGGGGTTTCTTCTGATGTCACACAAATAGCAAAAGGCAGGACTGAAGCTTCTGGTTACTATATTTTACTCTATTCCTAAGGTCTCTTTTATTCACTGTTATCAATATAATAAAAATTTAAAGAGACAAATAGGAGGATAGTGTTTTTAGAGGAAAATATTTTTAAATTTTATAAAGCAAAGTCACTCTACTTTTATATATTTTTAATAATGAAATGGCTGATAGTTGCATAGTGCCTGTCAGTAGATACTAATTTGATTATCACTCTGGTTTTCAAGTTGAATACCTAATGTTAAAATAAGCAACAGGTCAATAAGGTACCTGTTGCTTGGGTGTGAGTATCTGTGCCCCCAGTCCCAAGTGGAAAAGTCATACATTACAACTTAATGCCCAAGGTGATGGCATTTGGAGCTGGAGACCTTAAGAAGTGGTTGGGCCAAGAGGACTCTGCCCCTACAAATGGAATTGGAGCCCTGGTAAAATAGTCTCTGTTGTGCCTCTCATCAAATGAGCACACAGTGAGAAGTTGCCTTTGTGAACCAGGAAGTGGATCCCCTTCAGACTTCCAGTTTTGAACTGGGACAAATAAATTCTCGTTGTTTATAAGTGACCCAATTTTGAGGATTTTGTTACTGTAGCTGGAACAGACTAAGATTTTCAAGGTAGCACTGTAGGTAAGAGTGGTTGCTATTACACAAGGAGCAATCAAAAAGTTTGGAAAATGCATATTTTGAAAAAAAAAACTATGCATGGTGATCAAAAAAATTTACAACAAAACAAAGTTCTTTAAAATTTCATTTCCCACAAGGCTTTTTCTTTGGGGTAAACTAACTCGCTGGTTTTCCCAGCAGTGCCCTTTCTACCCCTGACATCCGTACTTTATGGAAGAGAACATGCACATACAGCCACATAAAATCAGCAGATGGTCTTTGATTTTAGCAGCAGGAAGGTGGTTCTCTTCAGTTTTAATTTTTCTTCCACTCAGATTTATTTTCAAATCTGGGACTCATTTAATTTGACTGCTGCTACGTTCATTTCAAATTACAGCCATTCGCAGGGTCCCACTTATTTTCAATTAAATGGGAGACCCTATTCCAGACAGCATTGTGGGCAAGTGGCCGTGTGGTAGGTTTTCCTCAGCAAATACAGAAAAACCATAGCAACCAACAGCATGCAACAGAACACGATGTTGCAGAGCAGCTAGCCCAGTCCATCTGTGGAAAGGCCCTGCCAGGGGAGAGGTGGGAGGGAAAGGCCAAAGCCCTTTCAGGCATTGTCAGGTTGGACAGTGTATTAGTTACCTGTGGCTGCATAGACAGTCGCCACCACTTAGCAGTAATTTTGTAGATCAGAAGTTCCAGGAAGCTTGTTTGTGTTTTCTGCTCTGGTTCACACAAATCTGAGTCAGGTTGTCTGCTGGGCTGGACTTGGACCTGGGGAAATAGGTCCAAACAGGGGAAATAGGCTTCTAAGCTCATTCAATTTAGTTCCTTGCAGGTGTAGGACTAAGGCGCCCATCTCTGTGGGCTGCCAGTTTTGCCTTTCATTTCATCTGTACCAATAATGCACATTGAATCTTTCATGTATTTGGAATCTATTCCTCTTTTGCTACAAGCTGGATAAATTTTTCTGTTTTTATTTATTTATATTATTTATTTGATAAGCAGAGAAAGAAAGTTCCCATCCACTATTTCACCCCCCCCCCCACAGACGTCTGCCACAGCTATGGCTGAGCCAGGACAATGTCAGGAGCTAAGAATGTGGGCATCCCACATGGGTGGCAGGGTCCTAAGTACTTGGGTCATCATCTGCTGCCTCCCAGGATGTACATTAGCAGGAGGCTGGAATCAGAACCAGAGCTGGGACTGGAATCCAGGCATGCTGATGTGGAATGCAGGAATCCCAAGTGGTGCCTGAACCGCTGCCCTGAATGCCTGCCTCAGTTTTCTACTTTAATGGTTTGAGGCCAGGAAACATTGCAGCCTGTGTTCAGGTAGTACTGTACGCTGAGGCTTCTGGACAAGAAGAGACACGACAGACCCTTCATGAAGCAAACTGAGACTCAAATCATGCTAAGGATAAAGTGACAAGGTAAGTGTTAAGTAAGAATGAGTGATGCTTCTTGTACTATCTGCCCTTTAAAGGATTCACAACCCCTGCTCCTCCACACTGAGCTTCTAATTAATAATGTGGGGCAGGGCATTCTCATTCCTTTCACGAGTAGACTTTGTAATATTGTTGTAGTGTGAAAATGCATTGTCCTTCCATTATTAGTCTACTCAGGCTGCCATAATTAGTGCCACAGACTCAGGGGCATAAACAAGACATTCATCCTGTCACAGTTGGTGGGGGCTAGACATCCAAGGTCAAGGTGTTAGAGAAATTGGGTTGGTTTCTTGTGTGGCCTTCAAGAGAGAATCAGTTGCTGACCTCTCCCAGCTTCTCAAATTTTGTTGGCAATCTTTGACGTTCCTTGGCTTATAGATGCATCATCCTGAACTCTACCTTCACATTCACCCGGAATTCTCTCTGTGCACATGTTATCTCCAAACCTCCTCTTTTAATAAATACAGTGTAGTGGATTAGGGTCCGCCTTAATCCAGGGTGACCTCATCTTGACTTAAGGAATTACATTTGCAATGATCTTAGTTCCAAATATTCTGAGTACTGGGGACTGGGACTTCAACATATTAGTTCTTGGAGCATGCAATTCAAACCACATCAGTCTCCTTGGCTCTGTCCTGGAGCCCTCATTCCCAGTGGGTAAGGACCAGATAACTTGTAATTTACTTCTATGAATAAAGTGAGTCAAGTCTAAATAGATTTTAAACTCTTGCTTCTTAAAGTCTGGTCCTCAAATGAGCAGCTTTGGATCACCTGGGAAATTCTTGAAACCACCGTGTCAGGCCACACCTGCCCTGAGTCAGAATCTATATCTAACAACATCCATTGGATGTTCTGCACATTAAAATTTGAAAGGCAGTGTTCACTACATCTTGTCGAAATGGTTAGACAATTCTTTAGGGAAAAACCATAATATAAGTCTCAAACTTATTCTTCGTTCCAATTTTAGTATACGTGCTGCTGAAGCGAGCACTCAAGCTAATTCTTTAAAGAAATTAAAAAATACATTGTTAAAGGAGTGGTACTAAGACCTTAATGCAATGTGCTTTGATAAAAAAGCTCAGAAATAAACTAAAACTGATGCTAGAAGAGACTTCTGCATATTCATTTAACTGCAATAGATCAGGAGCAAATTATTCACTCAACAAAACCTCATACACTATGTGCTCCTGGCCCAGATACTGCCTGGAATTATTAATCTTGTTAAGCCTCAGCCTTCTCATCTGTAAAGTAACTAAAGTAATTAGGCTGAACTCAGAGGTTTTAAGGATTTGGCAATAAGGTCGGAGTTGAGCTTAGTATGGTGCTTGTTATGAGCAGGGTGTCACATACACACTAGCTTGATATTGTTCCTGCAGGTTGCCACCACTCAAGTTCCTCTGGTTAGATATGGAGAGTGGTGGGGGATACTAAAAACAAGTGTGCAGAAGTAGACACCAGACAGGGCACAGGTGCAAATTAAAAAGCATGGAGACCTCAGTGAGGAAGAAAAGCGACTGAAAGGCTGTGACGTGAGGAAGTGCTGGTGTCCAGCTGGTAGCAGAGCATCTGTGATGTCAGAAAGACAGAGGTGACAGAGGAGGTCTCCATTTCTCTGTGGGATTTTTCCAGTGAAGCTCTCCTCTTCCTGGTCAGCAGGAGAGGCTGGGCAGGTTCCAGATAAGGGCAGCCATGCCTTGCTTCTCCATTCAGGAGCCTGACACCAAGCTTTCAGCAAGCCTGCAATCTTCACCCACAAGCAACGTGGCCCCACCCCTTCTCTCCAGTTATCATCAAACCTTGCTGGGGAAGATGTGGTGTGGAAGGTTGTGTAAGCACCTAGTAGGAGTGCCTGTTCTTCCTCTCTTTCAATTTTGACGATTGACCTCTGTTGTTAAATTTTGAGTCAATTGTAGTTCTGGGTAAGTGTGTTTTCTTGGCATACAAAAGGATGGTGGGTAGAATACTGGTTGTGGCCAGCTGACACCTGCAACAACAAGTAGACTGGGAAGGGAAACTGTTCAGAGACCCAAGGGGGTTGTCAAAGGTCCCTTCTCATTAGGGCACTGATACCACTCAGGAAGGTGCCACCTTCAGGATCTAATCTCTTTCCAAAGGCTTCACCTGCTGATACCATCACTTGGGGAGTTAGTATTAATGCATTAATGGGGGAGGGGAATAAGTGGGCACAAATACTCTGACCATAACAGTATGAGTGCAGGTTTTGTTTCTGTCTCTAAAGCTCACAAGGAGATTGTTTGACCCCACAGCAGGTGAGAGGGCAGCTTTGAATAAGACCCTGTGTGTCTACAAGAAGGATTGCAGAAGTCAAGCTGTGAGCCTGGAAACCTGGACTGGGGTGCAATTTTAGAAAGCATTTAAGGGTGGATGAGGAGTCTGGGCTATAATTTACATGCAGCACGGGGCTCTCAAGATTGGGGCTGTGTTTTAGGGAGATGCATTTTGCTGTTAACATGCAAAAAGATTTGGCTGGAAATCAGAGACCAGGGAGGAAGCTATTGCAAAAGGAGATGTGTAATAAAGGCATCAAACGCAAGATAAGGGCCAGGGGGAAACTCCAGATTCTAAAAATACTTTCGGCTTGAAACTGCAGGTGTTACAGCCTGAGCCACACGGGGTGCAAAAGGCAGCAGGCTTGTGATTAGTCTGCACACGTTCTCCATCCCCTGGGACCAGGGTGGCTGCAGGCTGATTAGTGCTTCCTGGAGGACAAAAGCAGCTGGTTTCTTCCTTTTGAATTCCAGTAATGACATCCCATTTTAACATAATGAAAGGATTTACTGTGATGGGAGTGAGGCTGATGAGATGCAAGGCAAAGGTGACCAAAGGACCCTGTCACTTGTCCCGTGGCTGGTTGGGGTCAACACAGCATTGCAGAGTGCTGCCACTGTATCTGAATTGCAGGCTACAGTTCCAAAGCTGAATGATTGAAGCTCAGCATAGACCCTCTTACCTTTGATCCTTGGAATCTTAACTATTTCTGTCTATCTTTATGAAGCACACACACACACAAGCCCACATGCAGGGTGGTGACACAAGGTATGACGTCTGTTAATATAATATTCTTGAAATCACACAATTTTAGAAATGGGTAACAGAATAAGGACAGGATGGAGGGGGCAGTGATAGGAAGGAGGTGGAGGTGGCTGCATAAGGGCAACAGATCCTTGTGGTGATGAAAATGTTCTGGGTCTTCACTGTGGTAGTGGATACGTGAACAGACAAGTGTGATAAATTGTATAGAAATAAATACACTTGTATGTTACACACAAATGAGTGTGAGTAAAAATGATGACGTCTGGTTAAGAGTGGTAGATTGTATGCAGTTCAAAAAAAATATTGTGATAGTAATAATGTATTTTTCTATTGCAAGTATTATACTGGGCGGGGATGGGGGGAGATATCTGGACAAATCTTCAGTTTTAAAATTGTATAGAAGTATTGGGAGGAAGGCCTCTGGCTAGACTTGGTCCAGGTTCTTATCTCCACACATGGAAAAATTCAAGGAAGATACATGGGCACAGGCAAGAAGGAAAGCAAGATCTACTTAAAGGCAAAGGGAAAGTACACACTCAGAAGGGAGGGCAGGCAACCTCATAAGGTAGGCCTTTAACAAAGTTCAGGGTCTGCTTTTACAGGTAGGATAAAGGAGTGGTGCCTGGGGTGACACTTACTTGAATATTCAAATGGAGTGGAGATAAGCATGGTGGCTCACTTGGCTAATCCACAGTCTGCAGCACCGGTACCCCAGGTTCTAGTCCTGGTCGGGGCGCCGGATTCTGTCTCGGTTGCTCCTCTTCCAGTCCATCTCTCTGCTGTGGCCTGGCAAGGCAGTGGAGGATGGCCCAAAGTGCTTGGGCCCTGCACCCACATGGGAGACCAGGAGGAAGCACCTGTCACCTGCCTTCGGATTGGCGCAGCGTGCAGGCCGTAGCAGCCATTTGAAGGGTGAACCAACAGAAAAGGAAGACCTTTCTCTCTCTCTCTCTCTCTCTCTGTCAACTCTGCCTGTCCAAAAAAAAAAAAAAAAAAGATGGAGTGGAGATTGAGTACCACCCACTTCTGTGCCCTTTTGTTTGAAAATTTCAGAAATATGGTGTCTGGAGCACACTGGGCTGTAGCACACAGGTTGAAATCTAGGAAGTGGTGTGAGTATGCAAGTGTGCAGCCACATTGGATATTTATAGCCAGCGGCAACCTGGCAGTTCTGTGTGCATTGAAGGGGCTGCAGTTTCAGGTGGTCCGTGGTGGGCTTTGGCACAGATGCCAGCAGTCCTCAATTCTTCACTACTTCCCTGCCTCTATCAGG